TGAAAACTGAGTACCTGAAACCAAAAACTGAAACTGTAAGCACGAAGCTTAGTGAGCTCCCCCAAACTACCCCATACCATACAATAACATATAAAGCACATATTGGGCCTTGCCCACTGCATCGGACCGAGGTCCGGACTAACTGGGGCCTTGCCCTCTGCATCGGACCGAAGTCCGAAGACTGACTGGGACCTTGTCCCCTGCATCGGACCGGAGTCCGGACTAACTGGGGCTTTTCCCCCTGCATCGGACCGAAGTCCGAAAACTGACTGGGACCTTGTCCCCTGCATCGGACCGAAGTCCGAACTAACTGGGGCCTTGCCCCCTGCATCGGACCGAAGTCCGGAAACTGACTGAACATAGCATAGCATAACATATCAACTAGCATAAACACATATACTGCATACTGCATTGGGCCGTAGCCCGGAACACATAACACATAACACATAGCACATAAATCCTGTCTGAGCCACGAAGGCATCAAACATACTAACTACTGCATCAGACCGAAGTCCGGAAACTACTGCTAACTGAACGGGCCGGCATTGTGGCCTTAGACCCGTTCCTACTGGAAGGAAACTCACCTGAACTGCTGAATTCTGCTGGTAACCCTCGGACTGCTAACCAACCACCTTCTGAAACGCTGCTCCTCTAACTCTCCGAGCTACCAATAACAAAGCGACACTTAGCTTGACAGACCTCTAAAAGTCAACTAACTCAACTCTGATCAAAGTCAAAGTCCTGGCCCAAGTCAACCTTCCATGTTGACCCTACTCGCCGAGTCAGCCTACAGACTCGCCGAGTTCACTGATTTCCGAGTTCTGTCCTGTCCAACTCACTGAGTCCCCACTCAACTCACTAAGCTGAGCCTTGACTCGAAGGGTTTGGGGTTTCGCGACTTGACTCGTCGAGTCCAAGAATAGACTCGTCGAGTCCAAGGCAATATTCAACAGACTCACCGATTTGTTCATCCAACTCGTCGAGTTAGCCTCCATCTTCATACTACTCGCCGAGTCCACTCAAAGGACTCGCCGAGTCCATTCAGTCCTTAATCCATGTAGTGGCTTTTCGAGCCAAACAGGGCTTCCAACTCATAGATTCATACTTGTAAGGCCTATCCCTCACGTAAAGTGGCAAACTTTACGTGTAGATTAAGAGATCTAAGCTTAAAACAATCCAAACTAGGGTTTAAGACAAAGAGGCTTCACTATCCACCCAAAAAAAAGATGCTTTATGACTTTCCAGGCCAAGATACACTCAGATCTGAAGTAGCAACTTCAGATCTGGGCTTCTAACTCAAAATAGTTCTTAAGCATGGCATAAAAGCTCCAAATCTCATAGCCAAGGTTGATCTATTAAACCAAAAGAGGGAAGGTAATGATTTATTACCTTAAATGCTCAGAAATGCTCTACCAACTCTGGATCCAAGGCCCCCTTCTTGCTCCACAATGACTATCCTCTCTCTCAAGCTCCAAAAAGCTTCACCAAGGGTTAGATCTTGCTCCAAAACGATTATAGCGGCTAGGGTTTATTGTTCTGAGTGAAAGAGGCACTAAAGGAGCCTTAGGGAAGAGAATGAGGCGTTTAAATAAGCTCCAAGTCCCGGATTTAGGGTTTTCCTTGCCCAGACCAGACTCACCGAGTCACCTTGGCCGACTCGCCGAGTCGGTCGCTTACTCCTCGACCCAGACCTCGCTCGGACTCGCCGAGTCCCTCCTTGGACTCGCCGAGTCTCTCCTTAAAATTGGGGTTTTCTTTCTTTTCTTGGCTTTCCAACTTTGGGTGTTACACTAACAATGACTTAGAAGGGCTTAAATACGAAGAATACCCTAAAAAATCATGGGCTTTGGTTGCAACAATTCTCACGTCATGAGACCTTACATCTCACGTCGTGAGCTTGGTTAAATTCGCATTTTCATTTATTCGCTTGTCATGTCGTGACCTCTCTATGGTCACGTTGTGACACCCGGTTTTACCCAAAAACCATGGCTTTGACTCTTTGATGACCTAAACCGGTTCATTTTTGAAACTGGGTATTACACCTCCCAACTCCCACAATAATCACATACGGCTCAAACTCAGGCCCTCCGACTTATACATATATGGAACTCGAAAGAAGAGACTCAAACCAAGGAAATCAAAATGAAGAAGAAACTAAATAAACATCATTGTTGGGCTGTTGTGCTACTTCACCGATTTGTACATCCATGAAAATTGAAATGAAGAAGAGATTTAAACCAATGATACCGAGCAAAGAATGAAACCTGATCATAATAAGATGAATTCTCGTAGAAAGGAACATTCATGTAAAGGTTTATGATTGGGAATGGGGAAGGTGGGTGTTCTTGAAGATGAACATAAGTTTGTGGTGGGTGAGAACGTGAGTGACAACATGAGGTGTATTTTAATTTAATTTTTCTTTCTAAAAAAGCCAAAACATTAAGAAACCGGCAATTACAAGTCAATGTCCTTTTTTAGTAGGTAAAATTTGAATTTATGCCTCTAAACTACAAAAAATAATATTATGGACCTTTTAAAACAAAACCCGATAGTTGGTTGGGATATAGTGCCATTTTCCTAAGGGTATTCTGTAGGCAATTCTATGTATGAAGACTCTATTTTCATGAAAATGATGGAATACAATATATTAGGTTTATTACAAAGGGGGTTCATGGTGACTGAGAACGGTGAATGATGACCTAATTTTCTCATTTGTTACACATTGCAATGTTGTGGTTTACTGAGATATTTCTACATTCCTAGATTAGCATCACTAGAAGCTCCACGACTTGATCTCACGGAGATGTAGCAATGAAATGGTTATACTTTTTATTTAAGGGATACGTGGCTGTCTGACTTCATAACACAACCAAAGCCATGATTTACATCAAATAGCCTATTTTGATGCACGTTTGGCTCATTTTTAATATAGTTTTACTCTCCTTTTCTTTATATTCATTGAAGATCGGTTTTTTATATCTTTCATTTTGTCCCTTGTTAGTTTTGTAACACCTAACCTTTGTTTCTCTTTTATGTAGATGTGTACCATATCTCCATAGGTGGAACCATGTTGAATATCAATATATCATGTTTCTTATTTTAGTAGGTTTATTGCTCTTGTTATTATGCATTGTTATATATTTCTATATGCTAGTTTTATGTATTGTTGGGTTTATACTCGTTTATGCGACCAAATGTTTGATATATCTTTAATGCAAATTAAGATTGCATCCAGAAATTTTGTATAGGATGCCCAAAAAGTGGTATAAGATCATCTAGTTTTTATTTGGAGTACATTTGGGGTTTCTTATTTCAAGGGTTTGCTAATTTATGATCCACACTAAGTATTTGATACAATGTCTAATTCTTCCAAGGGTAAAAATTTTGCTAATAGATTTTCATCATCGATCCATCAACGATAGTGATTTTAACTTCATCGCGAATATAAAATTATTTGGTTATTAACGCTTCTATAAAATCTCGATTTTGATCATGATCTATGGTGTAATGCTTCGCTGGGACCCATATTTTGAATTTAATTTTCGATTTAGATATTTGGAATATGATTGTTTTCTTCAAACCCTTGAAAAGTTCAAAGTAAATCACTTCCAAGGTTGTTTCAATAGCCACTCCTAACTAAAGTAGATATAAAGAACCACATAATAAGTTTTCCGGTTTGTAACTTTTAGGTGGGAGAGAATGGTAACACTTTAGAGGGTGTTTGGGATTTCGTTTAAAAACAACTTATTGATTTTTGGAAAAGTCAATATAAGTTAAAAAAAAAAGTGTTTGGTAATATGAAATGGACTTTTAAAATAAGTTTCATTAACTCTTCAAAAATAGATTTCAATAAGCTAGAATTTTTAACTTTTCAAAACTTCTTATAGCTTTTTGGTTTGTAAAAGTCAAATAGCCCTTAAAATATGTATAAGTTAAAACAAATAATTTAAAAAAAATAATTTATTGACTTATTAACTTTTTTCACCTTAAAAGCTAATCCATATACATAAAAAAAAACTCATTTACCAAGTCAATAAGTCCTTTCGTCCAAAAGTTATTTTTGAGATTCAAATGAAATCCCAAATACCCTCTTAACACATTGCCATGTAGGATTTTTTTAGTTTTTTTGAAACCATATAATCTTAATATGTCTAGCACAAAAAAGGTAGGGAGTAGTAATTTACTAATTTAATAGGTTTGATTTTGAAAAGAGATAAAAGTAAACAAAAATATCAAATAGCAATCGGACCTCTCCACTTTCTCCCAACGAACCCCACTCCCCAAAGCCTTAAAAGCATGTTTTAAACGATAGTATGTTTACCGAGTAATGACCATTATGACTGCATAGAAAATTTGTTCTAGATGATCATTTACAGCCTTAATCAATTAATCTATTCGAATTAGATCATTAGAATTAATTCATGTATGGGTTGAATTTTGATGTGATCGATCCTTTACGACTAATGGAAAGATACTGGTGGTTTCCTATGATAACAACACTCTCCTTTAGTGATCACTGGTCAACGATGTCCTTAAACTATACTATGATATAGGAGTCCTTTATACTATCTATATATATTTTAGTAATGATAAAATAAATAATTGAATGTGTTGAACAAAAAATATGGTCAATGCGTAGTGGACAAATATTAAATAACAAACTTTAGTTTTTAAAAAACAATAAAATGTTGAAATTTCGTAACATGTTTTAAAATAGGATTTTTTTTCCCACGATTTGTGTGATAATTAAGGAATAAGGAGACCTCTTTTGTTGGTTTAGTCTAGAAAGAATAAAAATGGTTTCACAGTAGGAAGTCCATTTCATACTGTTTTTACAATTAGAGTCCATGCATTACTATTCACCCAATGTGTATTTACAAAGAAGCTTCGATCATACTCCTTTGCATGCATGCTCTATATAACATGCATGCTACAATAAATCGTACCAAAACACTCGCATAAAACTTGAATACACAAAAACAAGAAACAGAAACAGAAACATGCTTCTTCTTTTAACCCTTGTTTTGAGCTTGATGCCGTTGTCTGAAGGCAATTTTGCAAGTGCCACCGCTATAACCATGAGCAACATAGCAAGGCCAGGCTGCCTTACACAGTGCGGGAACTTGACAGTTGAGTACCCTTTCGGCATAGGCAAAGGCTGTTCTTTGGACGAGTCATTTGATCTGACCTGCAACTTGACTTATAAACCCCCGAAGCTTTTTATAAGGTCAGGGAACATTGAAATCTACAGCATATCAGATTCCGAGATGAGAATTTACAATCTGGTTGCTTACAAGTGCTACAATGCATCTGGGAATGTAACTGATGAACGTGATGCGTGGACCAACTTGGAGACCACCCCTTTCACTTTTTCACCGAAGAACAAGTTCACTGTCATTGGATGCGATGATTTTGCTTTGATCGGAGGAGCAACTGAAGCCGAGTTCACTAGTGGTTGTTTGGGAGCATGCAGCAACGCAAATGACGTCCCTTCTGATGGGTACTGCTCCGGAATTGGCTGTTGCCAGACAGCAATACCAAAGGGTCTCAAATTTTACCAAACTACAGTCCTGACCGTTGATAACCATACAGCAGTTCATTCGTTCAATCCTTGTGGTTTAGCATTTCTTGGTGAGGAAGACAGCTTTCAGTTTGGTGGTGCACGGGATTTGTATAATGCTACAGAGTTTTATGATAGGACAATTGCAAGTGTCCCGGTGGTGGTCGATTGGGTGATTGGAGGCAACTCGAGTTGCGCACAGGCTAATACCGAATGCAAGGGAAATAGCTTCTGTAGTGATGCAGATATTGGTGGGTATCGTTGCAGCTGCAACAAAGGTTACGAGGGCAATCCTTATCTTGATCCAGGATGCCAAGGTCAGATTTTCAATTTCAAAATTAAACTCTATATCCACTCAACTCCAACTTGGAATACCACTATGATTGGACTTAATCCATTGAGATACTCTTAGTGGACACTAGTTTCTAATGAATGTCATATAGGATATGTCATTTTCTATATCTCTTTGTTTTAATGTGTGAATATCTTTACATATTTTCCAGACATTGATGAGTGTAGCGATAAAAACAACTTCCCCTGTTACGGCAATTGCGATAATACTCCAGGGAGTTACAACTGTACATGTTTGCCAGGAAACACTGGTGATGCAAGAACAGCAGATGGCTGTCGACCTGTTGCTAAAAATTCAAAATTCCCAGCTATGGTATTTTGCTTAGGTATACTTCGAATTCACATGATGTACGTGTGTTATGTATTATTTCATACTATAATAATGTACAGCATAATATATAACCATAGCAACCAATATTTTTTTGACCCAGCAAGGTTGAATTGGGAACCAATCAACCAGGAGTCCTTTTATCTGTATTAACAAATGCTTCTTTTAACCATATGGTTTTATTGTTAGTGTATATATATATATAGACTCCTGTAGCCCATTCGTATTTTGTATATCCCATTTGTAGCTGGCCTATCTCATTGTATTTGTATATTTATATTTCCTTAACTGATTATTTTACTTTTGTAACATAACAACTATTAACCAGAGAATTTTTCCATTTATTCACATGTAGCTCTAGTGTTTGGCTTCGTGACCATGTTATCTGGGATAACTGGGATTTGCTTAGGCATAAGAAAGAGGAAACTCATAAAGCTACGAGAAAAGTTTTTTGAGCAAAATGGTGGTGTGTTTCTGAAACAAAAGCTCAAGGCACCCGGGGCTAGTGACAACGTGACAATATTTAGTACTCAACAGCTCAGAAAAGCAACTGATAACTATTCCGAGGAGCGGATTGTTGGGCGAGGTGGTTATGGTGTGGTGTATAAAGGAATCTTGCAGGATGAACGTGTTGTTGCAATAAAGAAGTCTAAACTAGTGGATGGGACCCAAGCAGAGCAATTCATCAATGAAGTCTTGATCCTTACACAAGTCATCCATAGAAATGTGGTTAAGCTGTTAGGCTTTTGTTTGGAAGAGGAGGTACCCATACTAGTTTATGAGTTCATATCGAATAACACCCTTTTCTATCACATTCATCATGGATCAGGTGGAGTGAGTTCGTTATCATGGGAGAATCGACTGAGAGTTGCTGCTGAAGCTGCATCTGCACTTGCATACCTTCATTCACAAGCTACAATGCCTATCATACATAGAGATGTCAAGTCTGCCAATATATTATTAGATGAAAATTACACCACAAAAATATCAGATTTTGGTGCTTCAAGATTGGTCCCTTTAGATCATGATCAAGTCACTACTCTTGTTCAGGGTACAGTTGGGTACTTGGATCCTCAATATTTCCACACAAGCCAATTAACTGACAAGAGTGATGTGTATAGCTTTGGTGTGGTCCTTGCGGAACTTATAACTGGGCAAAAACCCCTTTCTCCAGATAGAATTAATGTGGAAAAAATTTTAGCAACACACTTTCTCAATTCAGTGAAAGAAAACCGTTTCCTTCAGATTGTTGAACCGAGAGTACTACGTGAAGCGACTGTTGAGCAGTTACAAGCTGTACGTGAGCTCACAAGGAGATGCCTTCACTTAGTAGGAGAAAATAGACCAACTATGAAAGAGGTGGCAATGATGCTAGAGGGTTTTAGGAAGTTCACAACTCATCCTTGGGTTCATCAACAAACAAGTGAATCGAGAAGCTTAATCCTAGAAGTCGAGCAATCTGATGTTTATGGTGTCCTGCAAAATCACATGTAGTCCTAATGAATGTGATCAATCATACTTAGGTAGGTACGAGATGACGTTTTAATTTGTATGGTGCTTACGCTCACCATGATTTCTCTAAAAAGTTTTATTAGCCTTCCAATTTTTGTCTTTGTTATAAAATGTGACGTTTCGAACACACAAATCACCCACAAAGAACACAAGAAAATGAGTGGAAACCAAAAAACGAGAAAACTACAAGACACTATTATTATTACTTGTAAATTTTACAATGTGAAAGTATATAAAAGGCTAAAATCACCATTGAGGAGAAGAATGAAAAAAACAGATGAAGGAATAGATAGAAAAAATTCTAAATGTGGTCTTACAAAGATTCATAACCATACTTCATAATCCCTAATAAGTAGGAAACCTTCCTAATAGATACATTACTTGAAAGTCAAGAAAATAACTCCTCATAGATGGGTTTTTTTTGGTTCTTACATAAAAACTAAAACATGTAACAACAAGAAGAAAAAGGTAAATATGCATATGCAACACGGTCTAATGCAACACTTCCAGAAATGTTGGATGTTTAGCAACAACATATTGTCATGGATAATTAGGGTTTTGAAACAACATATTGCCATGCATAATTAGATGACCCTGCATGAAAAATGGAAAGTTTAAAAAAAATAGACGAACTAAATGCGTTTTCAAAATTCTTATTTTTCTTGGAAAATTTTTCTGGAAAACGGTCAATTTTTCTGCAACTAAACGCACCCACAATCATTGTTTTCCATATTTTTCTAATTTCAAAATTTTCTAAAATATAAACACACACTCACTCCCACACCATCCACCTATACCTACCCTCACCTTAACACCACCAACCCATCACACCCCTACCTACCCACACCCACACTCACTCCCACACCACCCCCGAAAAACACACACTCACACACCCAACACCACTACCACAATCACCGACCTATCATCAACATCACAATCACCAACAGTGTTGTTATTGGCACCTAAAACCACCTTTCATAAAGTCAAAACCACCTAGCGTAACTATAATTACCCTAATGATATGACTGATTTTTTTCGATTTCGATTTTCCTTATTAATAACAAAATTACTGTAAGCATTTCTTGAAATGTTACATATTTAGTCCTTTTATTTAAATTTATATTCGACTCTCAGCTTTTTTATTGAAAAAAAAAAATTACTTTTACATCTTCATTATATATATATATATATATATATATATATATATATATATATATATATATATATATATATATATATATATAGAGAGAGAGAGAGAGAGAGAGAGAGAGAGAGAGAGAAAGAGATTGTTTATGATACGAAGAACATGCAATGAACATAGTTATATTATTATAATGAGTAGCGAAGACTCGATTGTACAAAAAGTATTTCGAGAGTATTCGGATTTGGTTTTTCTAAAAAACAATAATTTTGAACAAACAATATATATATATATATATATATATATATATATATATATATATATATATATATATATATATATATATATGTTAGGTTTGTTTACTCTTTTAGTTACATTTTAATAATATCTCTAAATTAAAAAATACAAATGTTAAAAATATATATCGAATTGGAACTGCACTAATACTTTTGTTTTTGTAAACATCTGGATATATGTTAGATTTGTTTACTCTTATAGTTACATTTTAATAATATCTCTAAATTAAAAAAATACAAATGTTAAAAGTATATATCGAATTGAAACTGCACCGCACATAATACTTTTGTTTTTGCAAAGCTAAAAGCCAAATCATCGGTTAAAAATATATATCATAATTAGATTCGTTCCTGACCTGCAAACTATTCAAATTCTAGTTATGTGGTCAGATTCTATTAGGTTGATAGGAAGTGAACGAAAGACGTTAGAGCCTCTGGTGATGACTATTTTTTTTTTTTGGTGCATTTGGAATTTTAGAAATTTCATTATTTTTGGAACGGCTATACCTTGGAAATTCATCATTTTAATGTGGTGGTTGATAGATTTTTTTTTCTAATAGTTGTAAGAAAACTAAGTTGTGTTTTAGTTTCTTTCGTTTTAAAACCCAATTTTAACTTCTATTTTATTGTAGTGAGTCTTTTAGCTTTTTGTTAATTTTTAAATAAAATTACGCCTTTCTAATAAGAATTAATGAATTTTTATCAAACTATTTAGAATGCTTGGATATATATTCGGTTTGTTTATTGTTACAGTTTTAATGAATAACTATAAATTTAAAAGTACAAATGTTAAAGGACATTGTAATTAAGATTTTATTAAATAATACAAAATATTTTATTATAATAGAATTTTAATTAAATAAAAATTGTTCGAAAATACATAACTATTAAGATTACAAAAAATAAATTTATATATTAATGATAAGGTTTAATAATAAATAGTAGACAAAGTAAATGCTTAAGTTAAAAGTTTGATATATCTCAAGGAGGTATATATAAATAATCCAATAAACTTTGATTTTGAATGTTTGGAAACTACATATCAGTCTTTTCACGCGTTTACTTTGCCTATTGGGTTGTTATAAATTTTTATAGGTGTGCCATTAAAATGCCCCATCACCAATTGTCATCGCCACCACCACCATGTACCGGGCCCAATTTGTGTCTTTAACAAGAAATTAAAAAAATTCATATACAATGAAATTAAAGAAAAATAAATTAATTAGGGCCAAATAGTCATTTTAAATCAAACATTGATCAAATGCACAACAAGATTACATCTAAAGAACCCTACGAGTTAAAAAAAAAAAAAAAAAAAAAACGCACAGATTACCCCAAAACATAAAACATTGGGGAATGTAATTTACTCTAACATAAATATGTGAAAAACATACACGTTGCTGGCAAAATAACTCTTTTCCATAAAAAATGCTAATCTATCATTTGGAAATTGTCAAGTTCCTGGGATTCGTTTAGATCTAAACACCCTTCCTCATTTGCCTCAAGATCATAAACATCAGGAACATATCCAAACAGCTTCATTACATCCGTAAGTCCTCTCAACACCAAATAAATTTGTTTCTTTCGAATCTGTCGTCTATCTTTCACCATAAAAACATGAAATTTCCCCTCAACTTCAATCCAACTACACCCCGGCTGTTTCACCACCCCTTTTTCCTTCATAACCTTTCTCACCCGTTTCACATCCCCCCAATTCCCCCTTTCCGCATACATATTCGAAAGCAAAACATACACACCCGAATTCTTCCCATCTATTTCCATCAACTTTTCAGCCACCTCCTTCCCTAACTCAATGTTCCCATGAACTTTACAACCACCAAGCAAAGCCGCCCACACAACCGCATCCGGTGGGACCCACATCGTGTCAATCAAATTCTTCGCTTCATCAAGATAACCCGCCCGCCCAAGTAAATCAACCATACACGCGTAATGATCCGTCATTGGTTCAACCCCGTATTCCAACCTCATTTTATTGAAATACCCGCGACCCGCATCCACCAACCCGCCATGGCTACAAGCGGATAGTACTCCAATCATTGTGACATGATCCGGTTTCTCGCCCGATGCCAACATCCCGTTGAAAAATTCAAGCGCTTCCGACCCGTATCCGTTTTGAGCTAACCCGATTATGATCGCGTTCCATGACACCCAATCTTTATGAACCATTTTTCTAAAGACCCGTTTTCCATCTTCTACGGATCCACATTTCACATACATATCTATGAGAGAGTTTCCCACAAAGATATCGCTTTCGGGTCCAGATTCGAATTTAAACCCGTGTTTTAAAACATGGGTATGCGATTGTTGTCCGAGTCTTAAATCTGCAAGATTTGCACACGCGCTAAGAAGATTCCCGAATGTGTAATGTGTTGGAAAGACGCCTTCTTGTTTTAATTGAAGGAAGAGTCCTAAAGCAGTTTCATTGTCTCCATTTTGTGTATACCCTGCAATCAATGCGTTCCATGATACGATATTTCTATCTGCCATAGATACAAACATGGATCTTGCAGTTTCAAGATTTGCTGACTTGGCATACCCGCTAACAATTGAGGTTTCTGATATGATGTTTTTAGATGGGATTGTGTCAAAAATCCATCTTGCTTCTGAAATTCTACCGCATTTTGCATACATATCAACTAATGTGTTGCATATGACAAGATCTTTTGTGAGTTTGTTGGATTTTATAACTTGATTGTGGATTTCACGTCCCAGATTCAAGTTTGCTAAGGTTGCACATGCGCTTATCAGGCTTGCTAATGTAACCTCATCTGGTTGAATCTTTGAGTTCATCATGTTTTTGAAGACATGAAGAGCTTCAGAAGGTGGACCATTTTGCTCATAACATGTGATCAAGCTGTTCCAAGAAACTACATTACGTGAAGTCATGGAGTCGAAGACTTTTTGAGCAGAATCTACACTTCCACATTTGGAATACATGTCTATAAGAGCACTACCCATGTACACATTTCGTTCGTATGGAGATTTATGAATAGAAGCATGGATCTGAGTACCCATTTTTATATTCCTCAAACCCGCACATGAACTAAGAGCACTTCCATATGAATATTGGTTGAGTACAAAATCTTGAGAATGCATATGTACAAAGAATTCAACTGATTCATCGAATCTATCGTGTTGAGCAAACCCAGAAACCATGGAGTTCCAAGAACACTGGTCAGTCACAGGCATTTGATCGAACACCTTATTTGCTTCATCTAAAAGACCTGCATTTGTTAAGGTGGATAAAACCGCATTCCAAGAGAATATGTTTCTCTCAGGCATTTGATCGAACACCTTATACGCATCATCCACAAAACCAGATTTCCCATAAACATCAATTAGCCTATTTAGGATGAATGTTTCGGAGTGAAATCTAGACTTGATAATCCGGGCATGTATGTGCTGGGTTTGTTTTGTCGACGATTTTGATTTAAGGCATAGGTCCAAGAGGTTTGCGAGGGGTGATGAGTTAAGGAGATGGAGGTCGTTGGCGATATGTTGCTTACCCAATACATATTTTGCCA